AAGGTTAAGAGAAAAATACCCTCTCAAAGGTCTGCAAGGGAATCCACCCCCAAACTAATCTATTTCAATAGACCAATTTTTATTCAATTCATAGACTGATTTACAATTAAAATAGATGTCACTTTAAATAGACTAAAATAAGATAACTAATAAAAAGCATCTCTCTACACCTATCCCTATTTTCTTTCTCTCATATTCACGGGCTTCTAGATAGCCACGTTTTCCCCTCTCATGTTTTACCCAAAAAAGACCTCCCTAGTTGGTTATTGTTGATAAAGATAAACTCTCTTCTAAATTTACCCTTATCCTAATTATATCCCTCAAACTAACCCAATCGATACAAGATAAACACAATATAAACTCTAAAGTCGCCCTGCTAATTATCCCTACGCACTCCCTAAACAAAAATAATAATTCAAATAATCTTAATAAATAACCCTAATTCTTCTTATTACGTCATTGCCCTTTCTTTCCCTCTTGGGTTCTGCGACCCTTGTTTGGCCCAGTCACGAAGGGGCATGGCTACTTCAAACATGCAGTGGTCACTGACCATTTAAGAGTTGGAGTCTTGTAACAATAGTCGTTGAGTTAAGAGCGTGCATGTAACTTCTGATTGTTAGTGGTGCATGTAACCACTCATGTCGATGGTGCATGTTAACACTCCTATAGTAAATGACAGCCTCTATGAACTCTATAATAAGGATCCTTCTTCCCATACAAAAATGCACTTTTACAACTCTCCCTCAATACACCTTTCTATGTGAAATTCCAGAGATTATAACAGTGAGCTCATCTCTCTCTTTCTACTCGTTTTTCTTTCTTTCTCTCTATAACAATATAAGACTCTGTTGTCTACTGTGGGCTTCAAGCTCGCGTGCATAGAGCTTTGGAGTATCAAAAGAGACCTCTATGTTTTCTTATATGCCGATGATGAGTTTTCCATCTTATGCACGTCTATTACAGCATCAAAGGGGGCAAGTATCGTATTGAGATAGTGCTCATTCGTGCACGAAAGCAAGAAGGAATCAATATTACTTTTCTATAAATCAAACTTCATTTTTCCCCTATTTCAGCCAACTGATTCCCAATAATCACCTCGTTGTTACAAGAATACAATTCATTAATCTTAGTCATAGAATTAGCCATCATCTGGATGTTACAAGAATACAATTCATTAATCTTAGTCATAGAATTAGCCACTATACTAAACATCTCAGGGAAATCAAATTCGAGCAATCTATCCCCCAACTAAATCTGGTGTCAAAACAATATATTATCCCGTTTCCCAGCCATCCAACAGCTACTACTCACAAAAAAAAACTCCGACCAGATAAATCCCCTTCGAAAGATTGGACTTACCCCTTCTATTACGATCTCTACCACTAAGTTATTGAAGCCATACTTAGATTATTTGGTGAATAACTTGATGGTTAACTGAGATTATTCCACTTTTAGGAATGCATTTTTTACATTTAAGAAAGCAATTTTTACATCCATTTGGTGAATAACTAGATGGTTACCTAAGATTATTGCTAGAAGCAACTATATTATAAATATGCTTGCCACTGGGGCATATATGTTAAAATAATCTATGCCGTCTTTTTGTTTAAAACCTTTAGCTACTAATTTCGTCATATATTTTGACCCATCTGCATTAAGCTTTCATTTAAAAATCTATTTACATCCTATAGGTTTAGAACCTAGTGGTAGGACCACTGATTTTCAAGTTTTATTACCAAGTATGAAGTCTATTTCATTATTAATAGTCTCTCTCTCAAATATTGCATCATGAGATGCCAATGCTTCACCTATTAAAGATGGATCTTTCTCCACATTTAAAGCAATAGGTACTATACTTAATACATTAATTTGATTTATTTTTACTAGATGAATATAAAAATCCGAGCTAAAATTATATTTTGGATCTCCTCTTGCTCTTTTGCGTCTTCTAGGTTCTATTACCTCTTCATTATTTCCTATGGGTTCAATATACGTATTTTGATTTTCAATTTGTTTTTCATCGGTTAATAAAACGTTAATATTTTCATATTCATTTTTTATGTGTTAAATTCTTGAAGAACTCTCCATCTCTTGATTCTATTATAGTATTTAAACTAAGGTCTATGAATCTATATGCTTTAATACTTTAGATTATCCTCCAAATACACACCTATAGGTGCTAGGTCCAAGTTCGTGTCTTTTTAAGATTATAAAGTCTCATATATGCTAGACATCCACATCCTTTCAGAAAATTTAATAAGGGTTTTTTTATTAGGCCATAACTCATATGGGTTTTATGAGCTTTCTTATATCGAATTCTATTAATTATTACACAAACCAATAGAATGGCTTGACCCCATAAATTTAAAGGCAAACCCAAATTTATTAACATGGAATTAACTATCTCTAGTTCTATTTTTTTTTTCGTTAAATCATTTTGTTGAGATAAGTACCCTCCACCCTTTTGACTTCTTAATATCTTTATTTTCTTATTAAGTTGGTTTTCAACTTCAGCTTTGAAAATTTTAGATTTTTTAAATGCTTCATCTTTATGCATTAACCAATATAAATATGTATAGCGTGAAAAATCATCTATGAAAGTAATAAAATAATTTTGTTCTCCTCTTGTAGTTAAATTATTTAAACAACATATATCACTATGAACAGGACCTAATAATTCAATATTTCTTTCTACTAAAGGAAAAGGTTTTCTAGTGATTTTTTCTTGGACACATGATTCACTCCTACTTCACAAATAGAAATAGGACCTAAATTAACTATGGATTTTATTGTAGCAAATTTAAATGTCCTAATCTAACATGCCATAAATTAAAGGGTGTGGTTTGCATAAGGTTGCAACCTTAAATCATCCAATTAAGGTGCACCTCTAAATTTTGCCATAAATGTAATTATGATAGCAAATATTCTTGGCTTGAGAATGTACTTTCATCTCTAATTTTAAAATTTTAAACTCTAAAAATAGTTCAAATCAAGTAGATCTATAAACACATGAAATTCTTGAAAATGGATGGTCCAGATAATGTGTTGCAAGATACATTATTTTAGGACTCGAAATCTTCTTTTCTTTTCATATTCATACATCTCGATATAGAGATGGTCAATTAGAGCATTTTCCAATATCCAAACAATCGTTTATGATGGATTTTTGTGGTGCATCTTTAATTCTACATTTTAAAGTTTTATCCTTGTATAAACTTTTTCCTAAATTAAAAGAACTCATAAAGTAAATAGAATATTTCTTTATTTCATTGATCAAATCAAGATTGAACATTCCATTATAATAATATCCCTTCCCCATAAAGATGCTATTTTTTTATCAAAATGATCTTATCCAGATATCTCGACACCAAATTTCTTCCCATGTCTGGTACATGATACATATTTCCCAAAGCCAATATCTTTCCCGAACTTCAATTCAACTGTCCATTTGCGAAGTATTTTTGCAAGTGCTTGCGTCCCCAATTCAACTAAGTTATCCTCTTCCATTTGTTCATATGCCTTGAAGCGGTTTCGGTTTTTAGTCACATGAATGGTAACACAGGCGTCTACTCACCAACTTTCCTTTTTATCAATCATATTAACTTCAATAACCATTGCCACTAAATTCTCATTTGACTTTGCAGTTTTTGAAACCTTTTGCGGTGTCGGCATTCTTTTGAATAATGGCCTGGATTTCCATAGATAAAGCACGCACCTTTCTTTTATAAAAAAAAAAACAAATTATTCTTAAGAACCTTTTGATTATGATAAGAGAATGGCTTTTTATCATTTTAAACAATGTCCTTAGACTTTGCTCCCCAAGATTTACTTTGGAATTATATTACATGGCTGCCTCTCTTCCTCTTCCTCTATGGGTAGAAATCGTTAAAGTTGAACTAAGTGAACATTGACAGTTTTGTGCTTCGCCGATATTCTTTCTAAGAGGGGGGTAATGTACGTATGATTGTCCCTACTAGCTTTGAGTTCATTTGGTTGAGTATTCGCTTCTTGTAAATGAACTTGAACTCTTAAATAATTAAAAATCAAGAAACTTGGATTACCCACTTCTTCCGTTAAATTCTTGCTCTCCAACAAATCTCAAAGTATTTAAATTCTTGGTCTCCAACAAATGCCAAAGTTCCCTCAACGATGCCACCATACAATGCATGTCATAAATCGGATTTACGAGTACGTCATTAATGGCTAGTGTTTTAACAGTTGGAACTCGAACCCGCCTCACTGGCACCCCGCCACGTACACAAGTCATATTACGTAAAAATAGACCAAGCCTCGAACCCAACCCGTACACATATTCAGTCGGACAAAAAGCAACTCATGCACCGAGAGCTTGTGAAATGCAAAATGCACCATCACATGCCACGTGCGTCACATGCTTCACACATGCCCACACTCTTTTTAGTTCTATAAACATAAAATACGAACGTTCTTATATTTATACCCCTATTATAACACTTCAACTTTTCAATATGAGACTAAAACCTAATACAAAACAACACATATTAGTAATTGAAATAACACAATGTTTTACTACATTAAAATACTAAAAAATACTAGGAACTTATTCTCTTAAATAACCAGTCCAACTTAATTTTTTAATATTTTTTTAAAAAAAATCATTTTTTATTCATCTGTTCACTAGGCTGGATCACCAATCCAGACCGCCAATCCAAACCAATTTTCTGAAGGGACGATCTGGATCAACCAACCGTCTTTTTTAAAGATAGGTCTCAATGGATTGAAATGATACTACGTTTCATTTTTTCGCCTGTTCAATTTTCATTTTTCTATAGCATGCTCTCCCTCTTACTCCGTTTCATTTATTCCTCACTCTCTTGAGACTTAAGCAGTCCGCAGTCGTGCTCGTCCTAGGTGATGCATCTGGTGCGGGGTGTAACATATGCATTGGAGGTGCTTGTGCCAAGAGGGTTCATGTGGAGACGTCCCAATTGAGGTCCCAGCAATCTGGGGTAGAACTTTCGTCCAGCTAAAACAGAACTCAGATATATTTTGATAACAATATATATTTTTTGCTCATTTCTAATCGATCAGAATTTAGCTTTTTACATAGCTTCGTTAGCTCAATCCCCCCTCACAATTGTATCATCTTTCCCACTTCACAGTTAATGCTTTGCATAACGCCAACAATCCCAAAGAATCGAAACCTGCGGCATGACATGCACATGCACACATGCAATCAAATGCTCTGGTTGCCCATGGCCATAGCTGCACATTCCACATGCTGTAGTAGAAACCCATACACCTTCTTTCTAACCCTCTCCACAACACCATCTACATCTTTGCCATCCCGCAGGTCTCTCCCTGCACCCTCCAACCACTCACTCACCCTCTTCATCTGACCCAGCATCATAGCCACACCTTCCCCTTCGAAACCACCATCAAGGACGCCATCCAAATACTCTAAGAACCATCTCCTTGACTCTTCCACCATCCCCTTACCCAACCTAGCATTCTCCTCCAACCCCTTACCCCTTCTCCATTCGCAAGCCTCCTGCTCCCCCTCAAAGCCTTCTCGTTTCACTCCATGTCGTCCTAGTCTCTTGCCTGTTCCCAACCTTGGGGGTGTTCTCTTAGAATCTGAATCAGATGACCCCATTTGATTCTTCTTTTGTGGATTGTGGGCCCGTGATCCCTCCCGGATTGGCTCGGGAGGTGGCTTTGGGGGAGTTTCTATCACAATGTAGCGATGTTGGGTATCGGCTTTTGATGGGGTGGATGATTGCTTGCTGAGAAGAGAGAAAGGAGAGAGGTCAGTCGCAAGTGCAGCCTTCATCCATGACTCAGCGAGCTTCTTCTTGTCCGAGGAGATTTTGCAGGCTTCTTCAGAGGGAATAGGAGGGGTAGAGATTCCTGTGGTGACTGACTTTTTGGTTTGGACCAAGGAATCTGCTACAAGGGCAGCACGCTCCATGATAGGATTAAGGTTAAGGAAACGCTCCACCACAACCTCTGGCGGCTCCTGTTTTGATGTTGAACACGTTTCTGCATACATGCTGCAGGAAGAAAACCATTATCAGCTCAACATATAAAATCATAACAAGGACAAGAATATGTAGGGAATAGCCCGTAACTAAGGTCTAGCAGCTCAATGGCTGTTTGACATTAAAGAAGTCAACAAACATGACAATTTCTCTCTTGCAAAGTATTACATAATTTTCCAATGCTTACTATATGAATTCTCGCCGTTCTTGTTCTACACTTATCAGCTCCCACCTCATATGCTTTCAAACTATTTTGATATTTTACATAGTGGATTCTTTTACATACTCCATGGATTCTTTTGATAGATTTCATTGATCATACACTTGTTACATAGCATCTGTTAACATCCAAAAACCTATAAAATATCATTGGGTAACTCAAAGTGTTAACTCGACACTCCAACATGATGGTGATGCCACAAGTCAACATGTGTAACACTTTTTGACATCTTGACCCTGGTACACTTAAAAATACTAAAATGCTTTGACGTGAGTTCGAACTCAGCATATTACAATCACTTTATTTATTTTCTAGCACCTCCACCAGAACTCACAAGTGTAAAAAGTAAGAAAAATCTTGTTATATAAGTCATAAAAAACATTGATGTGTCTTGCTATATTGGCATCTCAGGCCAAACTACTAGATGCCTTGATACATGCTAGATGCCAACAGTCATGGGCGTGTGCATGCGACACCGGTCAATACTCAACATCAATCAAGAAAGTCTACTTCAACCCGCCATACAAGTTATACACAAATCACAACTGATCAGTTTCTCTTAATGTGTAACAATGATCAACATGAAGAGTTTCTTTGCATCTGGAAAATGCAAAGATCGTTGAGTTGATCCAAGAAGGAAACAGGTATTAGAAGATTAAATTGCAATTTCTTTCCCTTAATTTCTACTTATTTCAGACTTGCAGTCTGGATCATAATTCTCCATACTAGTTAATCAGTATCTCATTCATTTCCTGTTCATGGATAAATCATAGTGTTAAGCTACTAACATCCTCTATGCTATCTAATGCACAATGTGTGTTCCTAAAAGCCAAACCATTCCCAATAGGAACATTTGAAGTGTCAGTGATTTTAAATTGCAGTTCCCTTTATGGAATAAATTCCTAACAGAATATCCCAAACCAATTAGTGTACAATATCTTATTTCTTTTTGCTGGTTGTTACGGCACAATATCCAGGATGCTAGATGTACAGTTCAAGGCATGTTGAACCTGAACCCCAAGCACCCAGAAATTAGAATAATAAAAAAGAACATATATAGACCTGGGCAGATAAAAAAAATAACTAACAATAAAATATCTGAGATAGGCCTACAATGGAACTTGATGCTTTGATGAAGTCAAGTATACTTCACTCATTAAATAATTCAACAAAAATAGTATAAAGCGTAAAAGCAACATACATTGGAAAAATATAACCATCAAATAATTTTTTTTTGGGGACATTTTAATGGGTATAGTAGGTAGGAATGGAACCCATCACGTCATGTTGCAGCTCCACCACCCTGCCCGCCCAGGTCTTGGTTCCATTACTACTACAAAACATTTTAGAATAATGAATTGACCCAACATTTGAAGTCAATACCTTAAACACCTCATAACACTGTCCGCAGCTGATGCTTCAAGCAAAGCATCTACCGAGGCTGAGAATGCAGTATCTCGACTCCGTAAAGCATCCTACGTTTTCAACAAATAACAAAAAATTATAACAATACACTTAATGGGAGCTTCAAAAATCATGAGTACTGTGCGTCCTGAGAATTAAATCATAAAGCTACCTTTGCAGGAACAGAAAGATTAGATGGGAGTGCATCCCATGACACACTCCCATCAGCTATTCTTTTGTTAGCAAGAGCTGCCTTAGCCAGATGGCTGGGTGTCGAGGGCCTCATGGTGGTGTCAGCATCCCTCTTTGATGGCTTATTTGCTAATGTTGCTGACACATTTGCTGTTTTGGGTTTCAATGAATCTCTCTTACATGCAGCTGTTTTAACATTTACTACCTGCATTACATGAAACCAGATAGTTACTAGACTATGTTCATAGCCACTGTTGCTGTATTCACCTTAACATATCGAGCAGCAAGTAAACCACTCACATAAAGATGAGCAACAAAGACGAATAAAGGGACAACACTTGGTAAATTCAATTATTATCATTTATAAGGACAATGTGTAAATGAATTTCTATGGCTAGGTAAATGTGGTCTCTTTCCCATGTAATAAGTTTAGTCATTTAATTCTGTTAAGATAATTTGCCTTTATCAAAATAAGCATCATCGTACTCTTAAAATTCACACAAGCTCATTTGTTGAAACACCAGTTTGTGTGCCATCCCAGAAAACTGCCAAGAAGACCAAAAATATAGTTCACAACATGAGCCTCCTGATCCAATTAAGCCTTCCACAAATATAGTTATGTGTTCATCTTACTCGTCTTGTAAGATATGGAACTGAGGAATGTGTTTCCAAGCTTCCCAGCCCATCTGAAACACCCTCGACATGGACACATGTTTCAACACACATGAAAGTGTAGCACAAAGGATTTTTACAGTCCTATATAACATTATTTTCCTGTTTAAACTACATTCAGGAAGTCTTAAGCAACTTCCACCGTAATAAAAACCGCTTTTTATTAAGTTAACCAATAAAATAATGTTTTATATGGACTTTTACTTCCTTGACAAGTAACAGTTAGAAACTTACCATTTCAATGTTCTAGATTCTTATTGTTTATGATATGAAATAATTTTTTTGCATGTTATGATTTTTGACGATTTCCATCCACAACTTTGGGTGGTAATTATAGTCGACATACTGATCATTTCCACGCACTTTTTGGGTTGAAATAGCACAGACAAAGATATGGTATTTTTCTTTTTTTTTATATAATAAAGATGTGGTTTTTTTTTAACCAACTTTCAAATTGTTTCTCTCTATGAATCCTTAAGTAAATCTAAAAACATGTTTGACACAACAAAAATTTCAACACTTAATGCAGTACAGACGTTTCATCTAAAAGTCCTTGCTGATGTTTCTGAACACTCGCTGCTCACTGAAGATTGCTTTCTCTAAGCCACTAGTGGCTTATGTAGTGGTTGGCATTCCTACATGCTCCTCCGTGCCTTTCCACACCCCCTACTTAAGATTCAAGAGGTAACCAACGAGCAAAGCCAGTGGTAGCCAAGCCCTTCTGACCTTGTCCATTTCTTTGTAACAATCTACATTATTTTGTCACAGGACACATGAAGTATTTTTGTCATGTGTCTTGAGTAGGCCATGTATGGATCGTATTAATCGCTCATTTTTTTGTTAGAGAAATCACTACATTCATTGCCCCGAATGTATTACATGTGTAATTGACATCCTACAGAACCTGCTGAGGACCCATGATAATCAGCTATTCCATGCCACATGGGAAGTTATGGGTCCACAGCAAGGACCCATGATAATCCACTATCCCATACCTTTTTTCTCTTTCATTCCTAAGGAGGATTATCTCACACACACACGTTGGGGGGCACATCCATGCCAATGTGTATGGGCAGTTTTTCATTTTAAAATTTTTACAAATCCTTTTGAGTTGAAATTTAGGGGATTGATACATTGAATATAGGAGCACAAAAGAGAAACGGGTATTTTATCAAAATACCCATAAGAGATGGGTTATTCAACATTTTACCCATTTCCAGCTATTCTAACTCAAGACCATGTGTTTTTTAATGCGTACTTTGAAATTAAATCAAAAGATATAGGTAAAGACTTAAAATTGTTTATCTCTGATGGGTAGTTTTATAAATTTCCCAAAAACAAAAGGAGCTACACCCAAGAAATTGACATGTGTCCCCCAACCTTGTCAGTGAATGTGGGTCATCCAAAGAGGTAAAATTGGGCCATCCAATCTATTTGTAGTACATGCTAGGTTGCCCATAGAATCTTCATGCACGCACCTATGTATGGGTGCCCGCACACATATTCATCAAAATGAACAAACTCATAAAAAAAATAGAAAATGTCTTTTTAGATTAAAGAAAAGGGAAACCTTTACATGTGGCCACCAATATATAAAACATGTACCTATTATTCCAACTGTATGATCTGAATGGAAGACTAGGATAGCTTTAGTCACAATGTCACACGTAACACAGTTCTATTTTCAATTGTTTTCCTACAAATTCTCTTAACAAGAAATTTTGGACATGCCCACTTTCAGCCAGGGCGCAGCGAATAAAAACAAAAGAATATTTTATTTTGATAGAAAAAAAAAAAGTAACCAAAATATCCTACAAGTTAAAGGGGCCGTCATTTGGTATGACGGTAGAAGACTCGGCCACTTTGTGCATAAAAAGCCAAAGGTTAGGACCATTTCCAGCTCACCCCTCCCAAGACCCTGTGTAGGCGGGACCAGCACAGGGTTACGGCCCTTTTTTTTCTTTCTTAGCAGAAATATTCTTTTATTCTTTTTAGATGCGCTCTTTGTGAAACAGGGGGACGCCCCAAATTTCATCTTAAGATGATTTGCAAAAAAAAAGATTAGAAAACAAATAGTTTGAGCTATCTGATCAAGGTCAGATGCTCAAAGACTAACTTGTAACATTATGACTAAAGTTATACAAGCCATTGATTCAAATTTGATGGTTAGAAATTGCAATAGCATGTGTATTATACATGGGTGGTGCAACATGTAAAGGTTTCCCAAGACAGAAAGCTTGATTACAAATATTGTTGTAGGAAAAAAAAAAGAAAAAAGTTCATATGCAGGCAGGCCCGCATAGTAACTCTTTCCAAGAAAAAATAGTGTTAGATCACGTCCTTGGGGTGATTTGTTTGACCCGAAATCTGTAGATGTTTTCATCAGTGGTTGAAAGACAATTCGGAACTCACTTGGTGCCTGAGGTGTGTCCCCAGTCAGAAAGTCACAAGTAGATTTGCGTAGTCCGCAACAATTTGGGTGTATCACTTAGAAACACCCAAAAATTTTGGAAAAATATAAACAAAATAAAAAATTAGAAAAATCAAAAAAATAAAATTAAGAACCTATATGTAAAATGAAAAATGATGAAAAGTTGATGGTATTGGCATACACTCTATGAAATTAGTGGGGTTTTTTAACTTTCCGCCAAATAGTCTTTAAATGTTCAAAATCAACTTTTGAAGAGAAAGTGTTCAAAATCACACAAATCCAAGATTTTGAGTGGAATTTTAAGGAAAATAAGCATTTGATATGATAGAGAACTCAAAAATAGGATTAGAAAAAAGATATTTAAGGCATGACAGAGCTGGAGTTGAGAAAATTTCGCAAGTTTGTTGAAAATGAGAATCTCATAAATCCGAGATTCTCTTTTTTCTCTCGAATCTAATGTTTCGATTGTTGGACGGTGCAAAAAGAAGCCAATGGGTGAATTTTTAGAGCAAATGAAACTCAAATGACAAAATAATGAAAGAACGGGGGTCAAATCCCCCACACCCACTCATTTGTACTACAAAAAGTGTCAAACTCTGTGAGTTTTGATAGACTTTACCAAGTCTATCTGAAACTCGCCGAGTCTTCATTAGTCGTCCGAGTTTTTTAGCATTGGTTATATGAATCTACATTAGAAATAGGCTAATAACATACAAACCCCTACCCCAACCCCTTCAAAACAATGATGTTAGGGGTTTCTGTTTAACCTCATGTTTTTGCAAAACCATCCTTTTGATGTTAGCAAACATGCCCATGAAAAAATAATAATTGAAAATACAAAAAATTTGCTGAAATTTTATTTTTGGGTGAGAGAGGAGACTGGGTCAACATCAACCTACTATTTGGGTGTGCTTTTAGATTAAGGGTTAGATGTGTTGAGAATCTTTTTTTTTCCCCAAGTTATTCACTTGCAGTTTTAATACCATCAACAAATTTCGGGGTCAAATACATCCCACACGGACGGTCTTTTTCAGGAGGGCATATGACTGGAAGTGAAATACAGAAATATGGGTGGATCGGTGTGGGTGAGTGGGTGTGTGTGTGTGTGCGCATGTGTGTGTGTGAGATACTAATCATATATGTACATCAGGGGATTTACTACTGCAGATTTGAAATACAACAAAAACTTGAAATCAAGGTAGATGTAATATTCTACCATTGCAGCCATAAAATAAATCCAAATTCTAAGTGTTCTAATTTTCCAAAGGACTGATCAGAAACCCCAAAGTGAATCCCACATAACATGGTCACTGCCAGTCATGCAATATGCATATCCCTAATGATATAAAAAAAAAAACAAATGCAAAAATCTAAAGAACGATTCAAAGATCGGCCTTCTCAAAGAGATCTTCAATTTACCTTAACCGGAAAAAAAAAAAAACAGGTAAGGCAGTAGTGGGGATTTGGGCCCCTACCCTTTGGTAAGAATGGAGTAAGAAACTTCATCATAGAGCTTGTTGGTACTACCCCCAAGGCCCCAGCCCATTCTCAATTTACCTTAACCCAAGAACTGAAATTGCTCACAAGATTAACCAAAATAGAGATGTAGCTTACTAGATCCACTAGGGCCATTCAGTAGAAAACTCAACAGGATTTTTACGATTATCTTCCTCACTGCTCACGTTATGCCAGAGACTAGCACAATGCATTTGTGTCCATCACTTTTGGAACCCGATCGTATAGAAAATGCTGCCAAATAGTGGCTATTTGGTAATAGCCAGAGGGAGGCAAAAAATCCTAAATCTCCTCTTTTACAATAGTAAACAGAAGAATATATCTATGGTTGCAGTCCAAACTCTTAAAGAAAAGTCCCTAACCCTCAAATTGAACAAGACCCAATCATTTGTTATAAAGAACATAAGCACGAGCAATGCAGATTCAGAGGGTAACAAGAAAACTCACAGTAGAAAGATCAATAGCAGTTGAAGCCTCCCTTGACATTGAATCTGGGGACCTGTTTGCGTTATTGAGAACAGTGCTTCTCTCCCAGCTCCTCCTCAACTCCGGACTCAAATGCTGCTTCGATTTCACCACATTTTCCTCTTGTGATACAGACCTCCTTGGTTTATCCCTATTCGGCTGCCTCCGCTCAGCACGAAAATTAGCAACCGACTTATCTGCAGAAGAAGATGGAGGGGTGTCTTCTATTTCTCTACTCACACTTACACTCTTCTTTGCCGGTGAGAACCGATCAACAGAACAGTTACTCGAAGCAGAGGAAAAAGAAACCAATCGACCAGCCATTGAAGATCGACTCGAAGGACTTGCCCTTCCCTTAGTCTGTGATACAAAAACGTCCTTCTCAGACCTCTCTCCACCCTTGGAGAGAAAAACTGCTTCTTTTCTTAATCGTGCTTGATTATCTATCCTCTCTCCACCCCTAGAGACAGAAACTGCTTCTTTTCTTAATTGTGCTTGATGGTCAATCCTTCCCTTAGAGAGAGAAACTGCTACTTTCCTCAGTTCCCCTTGTTTGCACTTGCTGCTAATTAGGTTATCAGACCCTGCAGAAGCGGCAAACGGAGGGCCTGAGACTAAATCCTCAGGATTGCCAATACAAGGGTGTCGCCTTGGAACGAGTTTAACACCCCTTAGAATGGGGACTGGAGAGCCAGACTCTAGCTTTGTGACATGGATGAACTGACCTAACTGGATTTTATCATTGAAGATTAAATCATTGTTCTCGTCACCAAGAGAGACATAGGTCGCGTGCAAAGAGTCCGAGACCTTGAGGAAGAAGCCCCGGCTCTGCCATAGATCGTCGCCTGAGAGGGAAGGAACAATGCCAATCACTTGCAGAAGCACTGTTCTATGTTCACCTGCAACTTTTATGCCACTCTTCATGTGTTGTAGTAGCTTTAAGAGGACACCGGGACTTAGAGAAGCCATGAAAACAGCTCTGCTTCACTTCTCTCAATATAGGGAGGCTTCAGCCTATCTCACAAGAACAACATTTTTCTTTCTCTCTCTCCCCCTATATCTGTGTACATATTTGTCAGAGATCCAGAAGCTTCGGGCTTATGAGAGAGCACCATTTTTACTCTCTCTAGCCCTGAGTTTTTGCTACCTCCATCTCTGAAATGGGCCCCTTTAAGAACTCGGCTTTCTGTGTCGCTTTAACAGATCAGACCCTACATTTGAAAAATGGGGGGAGCTCTGAAAGTGAGCTCCAGGAATCATTCCCCCATCAACCTTTTCCTAAATACCTTTCCTTCCATTAATTAAACTTTTAGGCCAACTCCTCACCCCTTCCCCTTATCATTTCGCCATCAAACCTATCTCTGCCCTTCTGCAACTCTTCTCACCGCCTCTTGTAGCCCCTTCCATTTCACCATCCGCCATTTTTTCTGTCTCAGGAACGTAGAGAGAGAAAGGACACTTTCTGCACCCTTTCCCCTTCATTTCAACATCGCGCCATTTTCTCCCTCGTAATCCTAGAGAGAGAAAGAGACATTTTCTCTCTCGTGTTCCTAGAGAGAGAAAGAGACATTTTGTTTTGGCGTTTCGACGGTGACATGGGCAAGCACGAGAACCGAAACGCAGGCTTTGCAGCGTGGAAGGTCTCCTTTTTCCTTGATATGTCAGGAGGGGCAGCTGCACCATAACACCACGTGTCACGATCTGGAACGCCTGATGTTTATCATCTAGGGAATATCCGCCGTAGGAGAGTCCATTCGTACGAGTTTTGAGTTTTATTTGGGCATAAAAGACACGTGGCAAAAAGTGTGGGTCGTACACTGTTTTCTTGTTGAGGGGGTGAGGATTCAGCCGCTTTTTTTGACGCCCAGCCCATGTTGTTTGTTTTGGATTTGGACGTGTATATTATGAAAAAACCGAAAATATCTCTTTATCCTATAATTAAGTTCAAGAAATTGAAAATATTTTTTTAGGACCCCTGGATTCTCTTGGCTATAAATTTTCTGCACAAACAATCATTAAAATGGCATTCTATACAAATTACGTCTCGCTTTAAAACTCTTCGTTGCACGACGAGTTTCTCGATGAGTTTATCAGTTTAAGAGGTTTAGCTTCAGCGCATGGCACATTTTCTTTTCTTTACGTGTGATAGATAAATGGAGTTTTAGAGGATTAGGTTCGGTTCCGAGCACATTTTTTTAGATATAAAAGTGAAATAGAGTTTTAGAGAAAAGATTGAGTTTGGATTTTAAAGAGAAAAGGAGTTTTTAATGTGTGAAAGAGAAATGGAGTTTTAAAAAAAAGATAGGGTTTGGATTTTAGATAGAGATGGAGTTTTTATATGTAAGAGAGAAATAGAATTTTAGAGAGAGATAGAGTTTGGATTTTAGAGAGAGAGATGAAGTTTGAGTTTTAGGGAGAGAAATAGAGTTTAGAGAGAGAGAGATCAAGTTTGAGTTTTTAAGAGAGACAGAGTTTTAGAGAGAAAGAGTCATTTTATAAGTTGTTGAGGTCAATAATACATGGTCAAGAAAGTTTAAGGGGTTGGAAGATAGAAATAATGAAGTCATTTTGCTTGCAAGTAATATTTTTTAATTCTTATATCTCATGAGATATAGAAGTTAAAAATAGAGGATAATAAGATATTTTTTCTTATGAAAATGTATACAATCAATTATTTATTTTTTATAGGGTATAGTTTCTATAAGGTTGCAACCTTAAACAATTCAATTAAGGTGCACCTTCAAATTTTATCATAATATATAATTTTGATGTAAAATATTCTTAGGATTATCATAAAATCTATTTTTATATCTAATTATAAAATTTTAAATTTAAAAAAAAGTTAAAATCAAGTAAATCTATAAACATATGAAATCTCGAAAATTGACGGTGTAGATAATATCTTGTAAGATGCATTATTTTTTAAACTCAAAATCTTTTTATTTTTCATAGTCATACATCTCGATGTCAACATGAACAATCATAGGCTTTTTCAACATTAAAATAACTTTTTCCGATGGATTTTTGAGGTGCATCCATAGTTCTACATTTTAAGGTTGCAACCTTATATAAACTTTTTCCTTTTTTATAGACGAAATTAAATGGGTGCAGATGGCATACGGATGCATCCATAGTTGTAGAGGTAAGGTGCACCTTCAAATTTTAACATGGTATATAATTTTAATGTAAAATGTTATTAGGATTATCTCAAAATCTATTTTTATATTTAATTATAAAATTTTAAATTTTTAAAAATAATTAAAATCATGTAGATCTATAAACATATGAAAATCTTGAAAATGGAC